ATACTGCACAAAACCCATGCAGTAGAATAGAGTCAGTTCTTGCATACAAATCCCAACACTGAGTAGTCTAATGGGTGAGCCTTTATCAATCAACCTAGCGCTCCGCACACTGCCGCGAGCAGGAGGATGCGCATGCACTCAGCGTACCGCTCATGGCCCATCCTGGCACGGTGGAGGNCTCGTGCCGAAGTGGTAAAAATGAACTGGTGAAGGCGGGGAAACCTCGAATTTTGTCCGGACATGACGCGCAAAACCATCTGGAATCAATCACCGAACTGTTGTTTCGGATCTTTCATTATGTCGGCCTCATTTGCTTTCCCTGTGCAGCCAATTGTGGCTACCCGAAGTCTGATCAGTCCCGAAGACAGACTGCAGATAGACTTAGATGCGAAGTTGACATGGAAAGCACACAAGAAGCCAGAGCTTCATCAGTTTTTGACTTGTTCGTGAACAACAACGTCTCCTTACCTCGGGGTGTGCCACCCTTTTTAAAACGTACATTGTTGCCATAATAGCCCCGGAGACAAGTGTTGGGCGGTACCACAGCTGTAGTACGCTGGTTGGCGTATGTGGTAGAGGCTTGGTAGAGAAAACAAAAAGAGTGATTTATTATCCACACACAGACGCCTGGACTGTCTGCACCTGACGGTTACAGTAAAACAGAACGCCTTGACAATACCGTATCAAACAGATACAGCAGAATAGAGTCGGTCTTGCACAGCAAACACCCCAACATGTCCTCTCAAGAACGTACGTCATTCTGATACATGAGACTCGAATCTTCTCTCGATGTCCTCTCAAAATAATGTCCTCGAGAAAACAACTTACGAGTACTTGCGATCTCAACTCAAAATTAAATAGTCATTATTACCTGCCATTTCAACAAGCAGCGAAAACATTCCTCTTACACAGATCTCCCGAGTTTCCTTCAACATTCAACCCTTACGATTACGAAGAGGGGAGGTGACTACATTCCTAGAAGCTGGCGACGGTTGTTGAGAAACTTAACCGTTCCTAGGTTTTTGGTCAACATGTCAGCCTTCTGGAGGTTGGTGTCGATTTTCTTTACCTCCACTACCTTGTTAACGATCAGCGACCTTACGTGGTGATACTTGACATCGATGTGCTTCGTTTTCTGCGTTACTTTGTTCGATTCAATAGTCGATACGGCAGCAGTGCTATCCTCAAACAACACCGTAGCCTCCGTCTGCTCTCGATTGATGGTCATCTTCTCCTCCGCCACCGTGGGAGCCTTCTCCGCTCCAGACATGACCCGACCTAGGTCTGCCTCGTACATCAGCGCACGGAAAAGCGAGACCCAACCGACAAACTGGCCGGGTTCTCCGCTGAACGCGACATATCCGCGCTGCAGATGATTTGACGACTGCTGTTGCGCTGATGACGCCATTTGACTCGAGATGATTCCCTACCTCGCTATACGTGGCTTATAACCTGTTGGGCGGTACCACAGCTGTAGTACGCTGGTTGGCGTATGTGGTAGAGGCTTGGTAGAGAAAACAAAAAGAGTGATTTATTATCCACACACAGACGCCTGGACTGTCTGCACCTGACGGTTACAGTAAAACAGAACGCCTTCACAATACCGTATCAAACAGATACAGCAGAATAGAGTCGGTCTTGCACAGCAAACACCCCAACAACAAGCACCATCGGGAGGAGAAGCCCGAGGACATAGAGCCGGTTTCTTGCAGATCGGTCATCAATCAGGACCGCAGGCGCGCGACACCTGGTTTCATGACCAGTAGTCCCGAGGCCAACGCAAAAAGTTAGGATTCGTTGGGTCATAGTTCACTCAAAAAAATAAAGTGTCGAGATCTAGTCTGCATAACTAATAAAAGTGGGGATTTGCCCCGGTTGCCGGTTTTCCATTCTCGAGCTTGTACGTACTGTTGTACCTGCTACAGCCGTGCGTGAGTGGGATGATACGAAGCGCTCAATTCGTGCCACTGCAGGCAACTCTATCATCCCGAACCATGTACGTGCGCGGCTGCTGCTGCTGTATGGTCGTCGTGGCTGTCTCGCTGTCACGACGCGTATGCCTTTGAGTTGCCCCGAGTCGCGAGCATGTGGAGTGCCATCACCATTCAGTCATCCGCAGTAGCATACCCCGTTGTACATCGGACATCCTACTACTACTGTAGAATACTGCTTACAGCGGTACCGTCCGAGCGGAGGAGAGACGGCGGTTGAACGTTACCTGCGGATCTGCTGGGAGACCTTGGGATGGACGGCAGATGACGAAAACGGTGGACAAAATCGAAAAGTAGTTGAGCTCGGCGTTTTCGAGTCTATGTGAGAGGAAGGAACGGATAATATAAGGTTGGTGTAAAAATATCGAAGTTTTTTTTTTTTCTCCGGGCCATGCGGAAGCGGAACAACATTTTCTTAGCACCTTCATCATCCCGCTGCGCCCACGGGGCCATCACTTTCATCGTCATCCTGCTCGTCGGAGAGGTGTCGGACGAGCACAAAACCAGCGGAGCTCTCCTACAGGTACATGTAGGTCTTTTCTTCATCGGAGAACACGTTTCATGCGTACGTATGTCTGGAGAAAGATATGCTGCGTGATGAAATCTCGAACTTGGCGTCTGTCGAGAATGAAGCGACAGATACAGAGAGTAAGCTGGATAATTGTGCAGGTGGAAGGCGAACCACCGCATGGCGAGAGCTGGTGGTTGTCCCAAATCGACGCTGCGATTCCCTCCTCTCTGAGAGTAATCGTGCATAACGTACCCTCAACGGGGATTGTTTGTTGTGGCCTTTTCGAACAGGCCGCCGGTGGCCGGCCGCGATTGGTTGTGGCTCTCTCTCGGTTTTTTTCGCAAACGCTCATCATGTTCCGTCGAAACTTGACAGGATAAGTGTAGTCCGTCGTAGCTCGGGGATGCAATTGGGTTGAGCTCACGTGTATCTTTACATTGTCCAAGTATATACACAAATCACAACTCTTATCTCTCTCGTCTCGGTTTTTCAATGTCATGGGGCTTGCTTGCACCATGACACGTGTCACTCCCCGAGGGTGCTAGCCCCTGCCGCATTCCCACACGTCTGTGGTTCTACTGTACAACCACGCCAGTCAGTCGAACAACAGCAGTCTTGTGAAGGAACGTTACATCATAAAGTATCCAAATCGCCGAACAAGTTCCAGCATTTTCGTGCAGCGATTGGCGGAGATTCATGCACGCGCCACGGCCGGAAATCGCGATGGAGTGAAACCGTACAGACGCCCGTGGGACATGCACGCCCCACCCAACCAGGACACCTACACGAGCACCAACACCGACGCGCGTGTCCGACGTCTCCTGCAAAACAAGTCCTTCGCAATGCAACAGCATCGGGTAGGAAGATAATTCCGATCGATCATGGCACCAAAAGCCTTGGACGGTTGTTGTCTCATAACCGAAACCCCAACATGGGTGGTGAAGGCGAGCCGCGCCCTCGCAACCGCAGATAATGCACCACCGTCCCTCCTGGTGTTCGACGTGCACCGTACAATCAGGACTACTTGTACACGACGCTCCTCGCAGATTCGGTCTCCTCGTAGTTAGTGCCGAAGAGCATACACGATGAGGTGAGTTGGCAGAGCGGCCTCCTCATTGTACACCACGAACTCGTCGAAGTTCAGCCCTTGGCCCACCTGACCGAGCGATGACCGAGGTTGGGCGGGTGGCATTTGGGCTAACGCTGCGGCTATTATGTCATCTACCTCAGATATTCAGCGATAAACAACACGCAAGTCATGGAATCCAAATCAACCGACGCCACCTCCAATCTGCGGATGAGGGAGACCTCGTGATGCTCGAACGTGTCCCGCAAAACACAGGACCGGCGGGAAAATGCAGCGCGCCAAATCACCCTGGCTTGACTTACAGCGATTGTCTTGGGGTGACCTCGTCACGAGTTCGTGTATGCATGTCACCTCGTGGATTTCCGCTCAACGCTGGGAGACCAGGCCGAGCGAGACGTTGGTAGTTCCAACCTACACATTCTGACGTCGATGCTGTCATGACAAATCTACTGATCACGTTTTTCCAGTAGACTACCGTATACGACGCAAAATAACACACCCCCCGGACCGATTTTCGAGGCTCGATTTCTCAACAGCAGAACGAGTCATAGCGCCGAAAAAAGCGGCATTGAAGCAATCTCATTGAGAGCTATCTGAGAATGTATTTATGCATTTTCTTCGCCGTCGCGTAACCGAGCTTTGAAGATCGGTCCAGGGGGTGTGTCATCTTTTGTCGTATACGGTAATATTGTGTGAACCACTATTTAGTACACACACAGACACATGATCAGGAGCGCAACCTCGACTCCCGCAACCGCGAAACAGCGCGAGAATGAAAGCGCTGCAGCCTGGACAACCACGGCTGTGTACAGCTTGGAGTACGAAGAGACTCCCGACTACGACAAGCTCTTGCTTTCAATGTAACGGGGCGGAGAACACGGAGTTTTGAGCCACGGAAAGGGGGGCAGTGCGCGTTTCTCAGGTTTGTTTGGGGACAATCACGTCGAGGCGGCTGGAATCCAAGGTCTGAATTGTAGCACCTGAAACCACGCCAATGGCAAGGGCATTGTTTCTAAGTCTACAGTAGTCTGTAGAGAGAGTGGACTTCCTTCACTCGATGGGGAATACATACCTCTCCCACCACAGATTGACAACCAGGAGGCGGGCACTGGTTTGCCGGGAGCCTAGTACTCTTGGTCTTGAACATTCTTGCACGGCGACGCTGGCGACGAACATGCACCTCAGCTCCGAGGCGATACCGATTTTCTGATATGATGATCGATTCGAAGAGGAGAGAGAGGACCGGGTGCGAGCGAGAGAATTAGGGACCACCCGGGAGCACATTCATACATGCGGCGGCGAGAAAAACGTATCATTTCGTAACGTTTGTTCTTTAGCCAGGCCGTCAATAGACTGACGAGCGGCTTGCTGAGATTGTTGGATACTCTCTCCACCATAACCGGGAAACCCGGTCGCTGACCTTCCCCTTCAGAACAAAATATGGATGATACGTGGGAACGTGTTCGTTGAAGCAGCGTGTCTAGCCTGCTGCGAGGTAGCTACACCGCAATTCTATGTTGTATTCTGTCTCCATACCGAGGACCATGTAATGTAAGCATTGGATTGGGACAAGACCTCCTGCGCCAGGAAGGACTCCTGGTCTGGTGTGCATGTCACCCCGTGCTGAGAAAAAACATACTGGTGAGCCGCGAAGAAGGCCTCATTCCCCATGATCATGCGCACCTTCGCCGAGCGCGAGGCGTAGTCGTTTGCCTTTCCGGACACGCTTGTCAAGTAGGTGTCCTCCCCGTACCGAAGCGGGACACCGGTTGCCCGGGCCGTGCCGGCCACGTTGGCTCCCAGCTTGAAGCCTAGCTTGCAGATGTTGCAGACGGTGCAGCTGCTCTTCCCGCACGGGGCTTGTCCGCCCTGCACGTCAACAGACCCCGAACGAGTGGACAAGGATTGATTGACGACGCGCTACGCCTACAAGGAGGGCAGAATACAGGAGACCCGGGTGCCGGAGCGTGACTGTTCGAACCGATCGGGAAGAAGTGGATTGGCCAATCTATTCCTACGACGCACTTCAAGTGGGCGCCACACTGTAATAGCAGCCTACATCTATGCAAGGGCCGCTGTTCACCTGTGGATCGACCATGAAGTTGCACCTTTCGTTGCAGGAGGTGCGATGAAAGCGTTCCTTTGTGCCGCTCGTGCTTGTCACGCACCTCACGAGAAACCTGTGAGGGCAACGGACAGGGGGGTTAAAGCTGATCAACGAATGGCAGCAAGACGAGTGAGTGCAGAAAGGCTCATGTCTCAAATGTAGACTACTCTTCTCTTGCTTGAAACCACTTGTAGCACGGCTAGGAGAGTGGTTGCTGGAATGACTGCTTGCATATCTGCCTATTTTGACATGGTGTGGCAAGGCGCGCGTGGCAACGAAATATCAGCTTTTTTCCATTGACGATTCCGAAGAGCATCCGTCACGTGCTGGTTATCCAAAACATAACTTAGGCGAGATACTGTTTGCACCAAATTTCCGGTGTTCGATCGACTTTTGTTTTGAGAGTAGCGTTTTCGCGTCTCATGAATTCACATATTCGGTAGTATGTTCGCCTCTAACCGACATTTAATGGTTTCAACGCACCTGGATGCTGAAGATGCGCTCGATAGAAACACCCTTTGCCGGCCGTGGTTTGATCCACCGATCGTTGAACAGATCACGGAGAGTATTGTACTCCCTGCCATTGCCTTCAAGCATTCGCAAGGTACTTTCGCTGCTCCCCACAGGCAGTATGAACTTCGCACACATTTACGGGAGTAGCTGGTACGTGGGTGCTCTTCTGTCGGGAAAGCGCTGAGAACCTTCAACCAGGAGTAGGTAGGCCCCTCATGCGATTCAACGTATATGATTCCATCTAGAGTTTCGGTGCTGCAACGTGTGTTGTACTACTATGCATTTTGGATATTATGATGTCTCGCAATTCTTTCGCCCGCCACAATACGCATGGTGAAAAGGATATGCACGCGCGGTGCAATCTGGGGGACCCATGAAGACGAACTCACTTGTTTTCAACTCGTGTGGAACATTTGCAGTAGCTGTTGCCAAGGGAAGGTAGAGGACTGTCTAAGATGGGGCCAGGATCAGCTGCTCAAGCAGGGGCTACTAGATCCTGTCCCCTGTTTTATCCTTCCGTGGGGAGTTGCATCTCCCTGAACCCTTAAGAACAATACTCTTCTATGCTCCACATACGTACGTACGCATCTAGATCGTATAACACTAGCCCACCCTGGAGATTCTCATACGCAGATACTATAAAAACCTCGGGGCTTGACAAAACAATCGTCGAATCCGAAAATGAAAGTATCGAGGATGTGGATTTCCAAAACGACCGAATTCACCCTCCCACACCTCTCACTCGATGAGTCGCAAGATCGTCGTTTGGCCTCTAACAAAAGGTACAAAAAAAAAGGAACGACTGGGACTAAGAGAAACTACAGGCACTAGAAACAGGTCGGAACCCAGGGGAAAACAGCAAGAGAGAGTGAAGGAAAGAAGGAAACGAAAGAAACGCCGTCAGAACGACGAAGAAATGGGAAACAAATGCCGTCGGAAGGTTACGAGATATGAAGAGTCTGTAATCGTCGCTAAAAGCACAGAGGCGGAAAGAAGGAGAAAAGAAACCAACGTTAAAAGCAAGAGAAGGCACAAACAACCAAGCATGTCGTCAAGGTAGGCGCGCGACGTCATCAGGCAACGAATCGGTCACAACATCTTCACGCGACATGTCGATGTTGCGAAGAACACCCTTGAATAGGGCGCTGCCGCTGTGTACTTGGAGGCACCAGGATCCGGAGACGGCGGTCTCGACGGTAGAATAGCGAACATCGGGAAGGGCGAGCTTGACAGGTCCAGGATCGTCCAAGAAGCGGACGGCGTAGAAGTCGGACGGCAGAGGTGGTCCAAAAATCTTGCCCAACCACCAGAGTCCATCTCGTGTCTTGTACCAGAAGAAGGCGCCCACAGGTAGAGGAGGGTTGGCGAAGCGACGGTCCCATGTTGAACGGGAAACAAGCGAGTAGCCCGAAGGCAAAGCTCGCGCACCTTGAGCACGCGCCGATTCCCGTAGCGGCACCAATGCGCATCGCACGATAACGGCGATTTGTTTGGCGATGTTGGTTAGGCGAACCTGCCCAGTACCGGAGAATGTGCGGCTTGGAGTGCTGCAGGTCCAATTCACGCTCCCAAGAAGGGCGCAGAAGGCCTTGCCAATGTGTCTGATGTAAGACAGCCATCGTGCCCCCACGGCCACGGACGGACTGGTGGCCACTAATACGTTCAATCTCTAAACGTTCAACCGGAGTCGACACGTCGTCTTCCGTAATATGGTAGGGAGATTTGATCGCATAAAAGTTCACGACGTACGGAGTAAGACCAGCAGGCACAATGCGGGTTGACGCAAGGCTTGCAACGCACAACCGAAACACGAGGTTTCGAGTCTTGGCCCGGCAGGCCCGACGGAAGATCCAAGTAAAGCAACTTGGAAACCAAAGGACGACCGTCAGGGCTGTCAAAACATGGGCCCACGGCCAAGATTTTGAAGGGGCCAGTCCAGAGTAGAGATAACTTGGCTTTTGAGAACCTTATCATCTATGCCTGAACGAACGCCTTGTCGAATAGTAGATTCGGAGTTATACACCCAAACCCATCCATCAAAAGTGTAGGAAGGAAGCATATAGAAAGCGTCCGATAGAGTGGAATTACGCCGCTCAATCCGCGAAACGGACAGGTTATGCTGTTCACGCACCAAGTCGTAAGAACGACGTTGGCGATCAGCAGCAAGATTGCAATATTCGAGTTGATCACGATGCAAGCTTTGGTGGCCACGAGCTTAAGAATGCTCAAGAACAGTCATCGGTAAACGAGGCAATCGATACATATGCACCTCATTGGGCGCTAAACCGGCAGCGGCGCTAACGGAATTTTTGCAAGCAAACTCGACGTGCGGGAGATGAATGTCCCAATCATCTTGTCGTTCGTTGACGACCATAGCCAATATCTGAGCCATAGTGTGGTTGACATGCTCCACACCCCCATTTCCATTGGGATGGTACGAGCTAGCAGCCACTTTGCGGATAGCAAGACGGGCATACACGGCTTGGGACAGTTTAGAGCAAAACTGAGGGCCGTTGCCAGACAAAAGACTCAACGGGCAACCCCACAAAGGGATATACCTGTTGACAAGGTTGTCAGCGGTGCCTTCGGCGGTGAATTCTGCAGCCGTAACCGCGTACATATCAGCACAGCGGCTGAAACGGTCTGTAAAGAGCAGAATGTATGTGTTGCCACGCGGTGTCAACGGAAGGGGACCAAAATAGTCAACACTCACCGACACAGCAGGGCCCGAAGGCAAAGGAAGGGACATGGTAGGTCACCGAGGAGTCTGACGAGACGATTTACGGGCTTGGCATCGTAAACAATGCCGCACCCACCACTTCGTACAAACACTCATGCCAATCCACCAATAGAAACGTTCCAGCATGCTAAGCGTGCGAGCCGCACCGAGGTGACAGGACGCATCAGCGTGGCAGACTTGCATGATCCACGGACGCATGAGCATGGGAACATTAATCCGCATGGGTTTATCGTTCAGAGGGCGAGCAGCACGTCCGCCAGGACGCGTGGTCGTGGACGACGGGGTCGCTGTTTGCTTGCGAACAAGCAAGACCAAACCATTATCGTCGACATGTAACCGTCCTTTGTTAGACAGGTCGCGAATCTCCGAACGAGAGGGTCGACGAGCGGACAGACCACGGTCCAAGAAATCCGAAGGGAGGACCAAATGCCGACCCAGGAGGATGAAACGAGTTGCTGCATCACACACAGGTTCGTTACGTTGCCCGCGAGCCCAATCAGCATGCGAGAAACGTTCGACGGACGCCCGGAAGGCTACATCCGTCGAAGAATGCAAAGCCACCTCGACAGAAGAGGGGGCTGATTCGCGAGGCGCCGACTGCAACCCATCCGAGGATAGAGCAGCAGTGGAAGCCAAAGGCGAATTCGCGCGAGCGGTTGACACCAAACGCGACAAAGACTCCGAAGAGCCAGGGGCTGCAAAAGGCTGCAGAGCAGGAACAACCGCAGTTGTGGAAGGCGTCGGAGACGCAGTCTCCACTCCGTGAGCCAGAGGCGCGGAGGGAGTCGAGGATAGTCCACCAGCACCAGTAGTCGAAACCCAACTGGGCAAGGCTGGTGTCATCGACGGCGACGAAGGCGCCGTCGGAGACCGCCGAAACGGTCGAGAGGGAGCGGAAATCCGCGTGAGAGACAAAGAAGGCTCATCGTCAGAAAAACCATAATCGTCAGGCGGGAGTGGCGTGCCTGCCACAGCTGCCGTGCGACGACGAGTCCTGATGGAGATTACTTGGGTGGGGTCGAGGGTCCGACGCTGGTTGGCAAGGGCCGGAACGGCACACGGAGGCTCGGGCTCGAGAGCCAAAACATCATCGAAAGACTGAGGTAGGGAACCGGACCAAACGATGGGAGGTCGATTGCGCAATCACGACCGAGCCGAACGGCGGAACATCTCGGGCGGCAAGGGAGCAATCTTGGGCAACAAGGGAGCGACGTTCCAAACGCCAGATGAAGGCGAGAGGCCTGATGGCGGTAGACGCGGACCGTGCCGACGGAAATCAGCAAAATCAGTCGTACAGGGGGCAAGCCCACCCAAGACCGAAGTCGGGGAATTAGGAACTAGCCCACCCATGTCAATACCCGCGGCCCGATCATCGGAAGGGGTAAGGCCACACGAACGGACGAAAAACACTGCCGCCTCGTCCTTAGCTGGGGTCAGACGGCTGCGACCCGAACGGTCGCATTCAGCGGTGTTAGTGTGCACTGCCACCCTCAGCGGTCTGTGGTGTTGAAACTGGGTGCAATGTTATCCCAGGAACAGCAGATGAAAAAGGACCATGTATTATATACATCCGTCACGCAAGCCCCTCAGGCAAGTGAGCTCGTTGGCTCTTTCTCTCTCAAGCACCAGGGGTCTTCTCCTACCCCCCATACGCTTCATACCCATTCACGTACCCCCCATCAGGCACATACAGCGCATGTAGACCGGACACATATCCAAAGTGCCACAAACAGCCGTACGATCTCCCAACCAATGCAAAAAACGTATGTAACCACTTGAGAAACATCCTCTGCAAAAATTGATCACGCATTTAACACAAAGCGTCTCAATCAGTTTATCCACGAATCCAATACATTCGCCCCTAGACATTATCTCAAACCGTTGACACAAAATAATCATCCTCGGAAAACACACCCACCAACTATTCGTGTACATCAGAAAAAGCGTAGGAACGAAATAATCATCTTCTGGAAAAACAGCTTCAAAAGAGTTGAATACCAAATCATAAAACAAAACAAAAAACTCAACTTATTGACCAATCAAAACGAGAATTCGGGAAGCACAATAGCCCCAACCATTAATCGTCAAAATACGTCAAACCCTTCCTCCAATATAGTGTCCAAGGACCAATCCCTAAACAGCGCGCAACCGCAAATCGTTACTACTGTTGTCCAAGAAACGGTAGAAAACAAAGAAAAAAACATCTATCCATGCAAACAGCCCCCCTGCTCTGACATCCCAAAACACTATCATCCCAACGTTGTATCTTTACGTGAACAGCCCCCCTGCTGAGACATATCCAAAAACATAGGAAAATCAACAAGATATCAATTGATGCGCATGCACTCTACAATCATGGTCACACATGACATCCCCCCTCATGATTGCAAATGCATAGACAGAAAGGAAAAAAACAAACGCAAAAAACCTCACATCAAAGAACAAAAAAAAGAATCGCAAACGTTACTTGATGTTCATTACAAATCACTGTGAAAGCAGAATGCCGCCCTGTCCAGTGGTTTGGTCATAAAGTCGGCGTGCTGCAAGGCCGATGCAACGTGGACCACCTTAAACCACTTGCGTGCCCCCCGCTCCCGAATGAAATGGTGTCGAATGCCTATGTGCTTACAGTTGAGGGTGGTGGCCGGGTTGTTGGCCAAATGACGGGCCCCCATGTTATCCTCGTTTACTCTAGTGCATCCGATGCGCTCATCCGGAAAGATAAAACTCCAGAGATAGCGCAAGAAGATCGCTTCCTCCATGAAACCGTCGCCCATCGCAACATACTCGGCTTCGGTCAAAGAAAGTGTGACACTCTTCTGTGTTCGCGACAAAAACGAGACACACGCCCCGGCACACATCACAACCGCACCAGAAGCCGACCGCCGGTCCGTCGCGTTGCTCGCGTAACCGGAGTCAACGAAAAGTTCCAACGAGACACCGCTCTCCGTTCCCCGCTGATACGTGATACCAAGACCGACCGTGAACCTGACATACATCAAAACATGCAAAGCCGCACGCCAAGATAGTGATTGGGGGCGTGGGCATACCTCGCCACAGCTCGCACTGCGTTGAGGATGTCCGGGCGAGTCTGATTCGCCAGCCACATCAAGTGTCCTACCGAAGACCGAAAAGGCTCGAGAACATCAGGCTCTGCGTCGTCAAAATCTTCAAGCTTCAATCCTACTGCCATGGGAGTCTCCTTGTTGCGTGTGACACCGAACTTCTCAACCAAGTTCCCAGCAAACGTCTCCTGCGACAACGTGATCGTGCCACCCACGCGGTCACGAGAAAACCGAATACCAGCGTACAAACCCAGCTCCCCAAGGTTCTTGATCGGGACAAGAGCGTTCAAGTCTCTGCCAAACTGGTCACACCCACTCTTGGCCCCGATCGAGAAAATGTCGTCGACGTGCACAACACCATCCTCGATCAGACGCATGACACAAGCATCAGCAGCACACTGCTCAAACCCAAGGCGCTTCATTGCTCGGAGCAAATGGCAATGCCACATGCGGGACGCTTGCTTCAGACCATACAGGCAACGGGCAAGCTTGACAACTTTACCCGAGAGAGTCCCACAACCTTTCGGCAAACAAATGTATACATCCTCTTCCAGCTTGGATTGAACGAACGCCTGCTCAGCATCAAGGTGCACAAAATCCCAACCAAGGTGGCAAGCAATGGCGGCAAGAACACAAACACTAGTAACAGACGGGCACGGCGAAAAAGTCGCAAAATACTCAACTCCTTCCCGCTGACAAAAACCTCTTGCTACCAGTCTGGCCTTTGCACGCGTCACATCACCGAACTCGTTGGACTTCCAAAGGTACACCCATTTGGCAGAAATGATGTTCGTCCCTGGCTGCTACGAGCCTGCCGCAGGCGAAAAGGTCTCCGCCTCGAGAAGTCCAGTGAACTCCGCGTCCTCCGCGCTGTACCAGATGTCGCTGTCTTCGCCTGAGTGCGCCTCCGCCCAAGTCGTCGGGGTCACGCGTCGCAGGCCCATCCGGCAACTCGGGAACCCCAAAGTACCGCTCATCGTCCATTCGCGCGTCGAAGTCTTCCGCTGTTGCAAACATCGCCAACACCCCCGGTGACCGCGGCGGAGGCCCAGCGGCAGCCAAGCGCCGCGTGGCTGACCTCGTGACGGAGGGGGTGACCTGATGACGTTGCTGCTGGGTCTACATGTATGGCGCGCGCGGGGGCCGGCGCGGGTCGGGGCCGCTCCGGTTGGGGTCGATGACGAAGCTGCGGTCGGGCGCATCGTGGTCGCGGACCCAAGTGTGCACGCCACGAGCATCGCCATCTCCTCCATCACCGTCGACATCGACGCCGCCGCTGTTGCCACCGCCGCTGCGGTCGTCCGAATGTCCGACGCCAACGCGGCGACCGGGGACGGCGCTACTGCTGCCGCCGCTACCATTCCCCCCCTCGCCGGTGCCGCCTCCATCGCCGCTACATCTGTCCGAAGGCCCTGCGCCAACGCGGCGACCGGGGACGACGCCGCTGCTCCCGCTGCTGCCGTACCCCCCGCCGCCGGCGCCGCCTCCATCGCCGCCCACTTCGTCTGAGGGCCCGGCGCCAACGCGGCGACCGGGGACGACGCCTCTGCTCCCGCTGCTGTCGTACCTCCCGCCGCCGGCGCCGCCTCCATCGCCGTTGCTCCCGCCGCCATGAACGACTGCGATGCCCTTGTCAAGGCCGCCGTCTGCTCACGGATCCCGCGCGGCGACGCCGCCGTACGTCGCCACAACACCGATGAAGCGCGGGCGCCTGCTGTAGCCGAAGACATCATCCGTGGTGTATCCCGCGAGGCCCGAGGAGTAGAGGACCTTAAAAGAGTCCCGCGAGTGACCGACGCCGCTGTTGAGATAGAAGCAGCGTTCTGCTTTGGCCTCGATCTTGGAGGAGCGCCGGTCATGGTGAATACCTGGCATCAGAAACGGCAGCGGGGCGCGGAGAGGACGCTTGCCGTAGAGCAGTTCATACGGGCACCGCATGTGCGGTTTCTGGTCAAGCCGCGCGAGAACGTTGATGTTGTCAGACATCCCCGCGAAGGCCTCCGGGTAGATGGCGTCGAACGTGAGGGCCTTCGTGGGGAACCGGATGTCGGGGAACAGGTGCACGGCCTCCTCCACCGCCGCTCGCCCCCCTTCCCTGATGAGACCGATCTGCCGCTCCACCTTGCCGTTTCGCTTTTGGCCTCCCTCCGGCGAGGTCAGCTCACGCGTGATGCCGAACTCGAGGAGGAGATCGTCAACAAGCTCGTTCAGGAACTCGCGGCCGTTGTCCGTGCGAAGCAGCTGGAAGTTGCCGTGGGTAGAGCGCAGACCCTGTAGAGAGACGAAAAACTCGCGGAGTGCTGTGCAGACGGCGGGGGCGCTTTTGTCCTTGAGAAACTTCAGAACACCGAAGTTGGTGCAGTCGTCGACGATGCACAAGACGTAGGCAGAGCCAGCCGCGGAACGCGGGAGCGGCCCCGCCAGATCGGCAAAGAAACGCTGGAGGGGGCGAGCAGCGGTAGAACTCGTTGTCCGAGCGATAGCCTTGCGAATCCCCTTGCCGACAGCGCACCCCCCGCAAAACACCCTCTACCCCGTCGGCCTGATGCCCATCTGTTGCGCTGTCTCGCGAATAAGGTCGTCATGCGCATGGCCGAGCGCAACGTGGTGATCGTTAGTATCCATTGCGAGCGGCATACCTGGGCGCATGAGAGCCAACGCCGAGCCGCGACCACCGTCACCACCACCGCTTCCACCGCCGCCGTCACCGCCGCTACGCCAGTTGCCGCAGCCGTCCCCAACACCGCCACCGCCGTCCCTGACACCACCGCCGCCGTCACCGCCGCCACCCCCAACGCCTCCACCGTCGGTGAAGCCGCCTCCGTTGCAGTGGCCACCGCCGTCGCCGCCGCCACCGCCGCCGCCGCCGTGACCGCCACCGAAATGGACGGCACCCCAGCGGCCAGCGGCGCCAACGTGAGCACTGTGGGCATGAACGAGGGGGGGCACACGGGTCGCTTGCGCGTAGTTGCCATGCTTTGTCGTGAGGGATTTGATACGACCATCTAGCATGCGAGAACCGGCGTCGAAGAGGGTGATATCGAAGGCCTCTTGCATGACATTAAATGACATCAGGTGATACGCAAGGCGGGGGACAACAGCAACGTCGTGCAGGGTGATACGAACGTCGCCGTGGTCGCCACGCAACACCAAATCCAGCGAACCGTACCCAAGAACTTCCGCGGGGTCACCGGTGGCAAGATCGATGTACCGTTCAGCTACCGTAGGCGAGCGTATGTTGTAGACGAAGTCTGTGCTGTTGGTGCTGTGAGTAGACGCGGCACTATCACCCACCCACAGGTCGGCGTCCAGACGCCGACAGCAAAGTAGGGGCAGGGGCGGGCGGGTACGCTACAGGGTGACGGTGTTGGCAGAAAACGTTGACAAAAAAGTGATTGGGGGGGGAATCTCCCGCCGCTCCGGTGCCGAACGAACCGGCGTGACCATCCCCCCCTACTCCATCAACGAATTCACCCCCACCGCCACTGACCTGTGTATCCACTCCGGCAGCAGCTCCGCCATCCCCCCACGCGCGACCTTCCTGCTGCTGCTGCTGCTGCTGCTGCTGGTGATTTCCACCACCCACAGAAAACCTGCCCCCCTACCTTCCCCACCCATCGAGCCAACCTGCTGCTCCGGCTGCTGATGCTGGGGCATGCCACCGTAGCCGCTGCCGCCAGAACCGTGCCATGGCTGCACACCTCCGCCGAACCACCCGGATGTACCACGGCGAAATGATGTTGTGGAAGAGGCGCCAACACGGGTCAATGCTGCGCCATCGACCCGTCCCTGCAACTTGCCGAATATTCCTGCTGCGCGCTGTTGACATGGGAGTACTGGGGACGAGGTTGCTGCGGGAAAGGATGCTGTTGGAAAGGCTGGTACGGCTGTGGCATGACGGCGTTCAGGTGGGGCACCCGAGACGCGTGGGGAGCCGGCTGCTGTCGCGGCGGCTGCTGCAGATAGTTGGAGTTGACGCGATCGTTGTATTTGCAGTTTCGCGCGGTGTGACCGAATTCCCCACAAACAGAACACCTACCGTAAAAGCGGGGAGGGGCCAGGCAGGCGATCGCCGTGTGTCCGACAAGACCGCAGCGACCGCATATGTGCACGGCGCACATTGGAGATCCCGGGGGGTTCGGGGACTCCGGCTGAGGCCACGCTGCGTTCCGCCCGGGGTCCATGGGCCCGCCCGAAAAAAAATCCGCCTCCATCAAAGGATTAGTCTGCTGCTGCTGCAGCGGGAGAGAATTGGGGGAGGTGGAAAAATGCTGAGGGTGTCGCCGTTGATTCTGCTGCTGCGGCGCCTGCTGCTGGAACGATGGCTGCGACTGCTGCTGCTGTTGGCGATGTTCGCGGCCTACGCCACTTATTTATCGGGTGAGACTGTTTTGGTGGTGTATTAACTTCACGGGAGGTAGACGACCGTCCTTCACACGGACGAAAGAGGGAGTGCTCAAAGAGCGGCTCCCACAGCAAGGAGGGGCCCCGTGAATCATCGCGGTGCCCCCTATCAAACGGTTATCTTACCAGTCTGCGTGACACAAAATCATCCAGCACATGTATCCAACAGCAATGTTCGCAGACTCACGAACACCCTCCCTGGTTCTTCACGCAAGTGACTAACCATCAATTGGGCAAGAACGCCCCAGGATACATC